CTGCCCGCCCTGCTCCGCCTCGCCGCGCTGCACTTCCTGCTGGGGCTGCTCGTCCTCACGTCCCTGCCCGCCGCGGGGCTCTGGTACTACTACCTCAGCCACAGGAGGAAGGAGCGGACCCTCTTCTTCCTGAGCCTGGGGCTCTTCTCCCTGGGCTACATGTACTATGTTTTCCTCCAGGAGGTGGTTCCCCGAGGCCAGGTGGGGTATTCCCAAGTGGTGGCTCTCACCTCCGGGTTAATAGTCATGCTCGTGGCTCTGTCCCGAGCCAAGAAAGACCCGGGCTACCTTCCCGTCCCGGCAAGCGGCAAGAAGTCACCGCAGCAGGGCCTGCCCAGGGAGGGTGTCAGAGGGAGCTCCGAGGGGCTCCACGGTGCCGCCGTGTCGGGAGCTGCCGGCGGCCGTGCTGTGAATGGGGAGGCCAAAGGCTATTCCAGGATGGCAGCTGAGGAGCCGGAAGGTGTGAAAAAGGACTGGTGTGCTAAGTGCCAGCTGGTCAGGCCGGCCCGAGCAGGGCACTGCCGGCTGTGTGGCAGGTGTGTGAGGAGGCTGGACCATCACTGTGTCTGGTAGGTTTTGCACGGCTGAGGCTACTTGTGTGCCTTCCTTCCCCTCTCCCTTCTTGAGTTAGCTTCTTCTTCACAGCTGCCATCAAACGAGGCTGCTTTTTGTATGTGCAAGATCTGGTGACGTTCTTTGGAACAGCAACTTTTAAAATAGAAATTTACTGTTTTAAAGAACAGCTTAAATTGTATTGTAAGTGGGATGACCTGATAGCTGGTCATTTCTCCAGCATACTCCAGAATTGCCTGCAGTTCTCTACTGGTTTTCCTCTGGGGCTTTTCTGTAGACTTGGATCTACAGAGCACTAGCAGCCCTGCAGTTAACCTGCACTGGTGCTGTCTTGAGGCAAGGGAACCCAAAGCTGTCTGTGTGCATGCAGGGAGCAGTAGGGTCTGAATGCGTCTCAGCAAGGGATATGACGCTTGCTAAGAGCTGGAGGCAAACAGTCCACCACTGTTACCCTACTGCTCTATTGACTTGTGCCTTTTGCCTTTCTATCAAAAGCTGTAAAACTTCCTGGAATGCGTTTCAAAGTTCTTAGCCTGTGTTATATAGAAGCACCTTGGAAACTGGGTTCTCTGACAGCTGGGGGAGGAAGGAGGAAAGGGAAGCCAGCTCCTTTCTCTTTTAAGCAAAGTAATCTCTTCTTTCCTTTTGGAGGATTAACAGCTGTGTAGGGGAGCAGAACCACCAAGCATTCATCCTTGCACTCTCCTTCTTCATGCTTACCTCTGTGTATGGGATTACCCTGACCCTGCACACCGTCTGTAGGGGCCAGACACCGTTTGTGGCATTGTTCTACTGCCCTGGGGCCTATTCTGACTACAGGTGAGGCATCTGTCTGGGACAGAGCTGGGGTGGGATTGGGCTTGATCAGAGAACTTAGCTCCTAGTCTTCATTCTATGCTCTAGGTTACTGTTGTTGGCTGTCAAACCTGGCCAAAAAGTGCTCTCTGGAAAGCAGGGATGCATCACTGCTTTCCCAGGGTGGGGAGCCTGAGACTTGGAGCGAGCTCACCATTTATTTGGAAAAGATGTTTGAGGAGCCGAGATTCAAAGCTTTTATTTATTGTGTCCTATATAGATATACCCTTAAATATGTTTGCCCCTAGCTGCGGTTAATGGTGTGGCAGTCTGGAATCTGTGTGCTGTCTCTGCCTTTCATCCCTCACTGTTTATCTAGTCACTGTCCCTCTTGAGTTACCTGCCTAGAACTGACAGTGTTAATATACCTTATCTGGTGGGGAGGTTGATGAGAAGCATTGGACATGAGTTCAGGGACTGGTGCTACCATTGATGTGCAGAGTACACCAGCACAAGTGACTGCCTTCCATTTTATGATCTGTTGAGCATCATCGTGTCCATAAATAAGGACCTTTATACCAGTAAGAGGTAGGTAGCGTGATGGGAACATGCAATAGGAGCTCTGGTAGAGCTAAAAGCTCTCGTTAAGTAAGCCCCAAAGCTTTAATTTTGAGAAAGCCTTTATGGATTATCTGATGAAAGCAGCAAAGTGAGATCACTGTGGCAGATGTAGACAGGGATTTGAAAGGATAGTGATTACCAGGGAAAGTCACTCTAAAGCAGCTGCTTCAAAACTAAATGGCTTCCTTCCCATCTTTTTCCTTGCTCCTAGCTCTGCTCTGTCGTTCACCTGTGTGTGGTACTGTGCCATTGTAACAGCTGGCATGGGATACATCCTCCTTATCCAGCTGTTGAACATCAGCTACAATGTGACAGAGAGGGAAGCTCGGCTGGCTCTGCGGGACAACACTGGGCGCAGGCTCTTGGGTGGGTTAGTGATAGACACTGGTCAGTATAACAGGGGCTTCCTATGCAACTGGGGCCACTTCTTGAGCCTGGGATCTTCTCCTCCACAGCGCTCTGCTGAAGACATCGTGTGACACCCCTCTTTCTGCAGATGATGTTGACTGACTTTCTTTAGCAGGGAACAGCCCCTTGCACTCAGACTCCCTCCTCCCACACCCTTCCTTCGCATTGGTGTATGGGCTGCCTGTCCTGTCACTGACAACATCAGAGACTTTCCCAGGCAGGATGGTTCTTTGCGTGCTGTCAGTCAGCAGTATGATGCAGAAATCAGTAAGCCATACGTACAGCCCTGGAGAGAAGGAGCCTGCTGCCTTTTTCCACTGTGGCAAACTTCGTGCAGCTCAGCTCAACAGGAAGAAGAGCACAAAGTTTTGAGAACCTTGAGTTTTCTTTAGGTTTGTCTAGCATTAAGAGAAACCTGCTGCTGGAATTCAGAGTGTGCCCTGGTTCCTGCAAAGGTTGAGGAATCCCTGGGGTGTACCTACATGCAACACTTCAGAGATGTCAGGAGGCTGAACTTCTGATAGAGGTAACAGGTGGACTGCTGCAGAAGCCAGGTGCTTTGGCTAAAAGAGACTGTTGAGGTAGTCACTGAGCAGCTCCCTCCTCTCTGCTGTATTTTTTGTTTTTCTATTTTCTATTCCATTCAGCTGTATACGTGCTTGTATTAAGTGCCTTTGTGAGCAACACTCCTGTAGGGCTTTGTAAGATCCCTTCACTTCTTAACCGTTATAGTTGTTATTCCATCCCCATCTGTCTCACTGGGTGGGAAGACACTGTCTTCAATCTCATCTGGGTCTGTGTTGGTTTGAAGGTTTGGCTTATGTCTCACAGAGTGTTTCTGCTGTGCTTATGGATTGTGATGTGAGACAAGATGTAAACGTATCAAGAAGGGATGTGTTTTGAAGCAACACGTAACAGTGGGCTCTAAGGGGCAAAGAAGAGCGCTGCCCAATGTTCCTGTTGCTTTATGGAAGCTACCTTTCTCTCTTCCTCTGTGGGAGGGTAGACAATCTGCTAACAGTATTTTTGGTAGGTAGCTTCTTGATTGGTTGTATCACTAATAACATAGCAATCCAGTCTCCTCTCAACCTAGTCACTGTGGAGCTGCCTGACTAGATCTCCTTTCTCATGCCAGGAAGCCAAGGAACAGTTCACTCTCTGTGTATGCAGGGAGATGTAGAGTCTGTGTTGGAGCTTGCTGCTTTTGGGGTAAATGACCTGCACTGGCAGGTGAATGAAACATGTTCTGGAAGAATGCCACGTGTTCCTCGACAGCCTGCAGCTGTATTACTGCCCAGACTTGAGCTCCAGCCAAATTCACAAGGTTTTGGTGGCGATGGTTTCTGGTTTTTGTTTTAAACCCTTTGTGTATGTTTTTGGCCCTGCAGTAGTGATGTGAAAAGGTCTTGCTGGAAAATCCTGGGACCATGACACAAGAATTATGGCTTGGGCCTAAGATGCAGAAGTAGAGGGAAGAGCCTTGTCCTAGCTGCTGATGTTTTTAGACGTGTGTGCAGCATGCTTGGATCATACCTACCCCTGTCTCCATCTACGTGGCAGGCAGCTGGGGGATGTTGGCTGAATTATGCAAATTACTGTGTGTTATATCTGAAGAATAGATGAATGGTAGCAGGACTGGGGATGTCCCTTGAGATCCCTGACATATTTGGTGTGTGCACTCCTGATTACATGTCCCAGTTTAAGGTGAAGACCCTGTCCCTTTCTGCACTGTTTGGTTTCCTCAAGTGGCACTTTCTATAACGAGCAGATAATTGAGAAGCAGCTGCACTTAGAATGTGGCTGTGCAGAAAGAAGTACTGAGTGTCTCTTATTTCCTCTTACCCTTTTTCATCCAGTGAGCAATCCTTTATCAGGAGGTGAAGGGGACACCTCTCTTGCTTTCTGCCTCCAACCAAACACACCAAGGGGCTTCTGAGGCCATAACGTGACTAAAAGACACTCAGCTGGACTGTACTGTTTCTCTGGCTTGCACTTGTGACCTTATGACTGGAGCTGTAGCCTGAGCCTAGGAGTTGAACTCACACAAAGACTTCACCTCCACATGAATTGTCTAAATGTTTCTGTGGCACACAGGCTTTTTGTGGTGCCTGCTGAGATGAACTGGAGCTTGGTAACCTTGTAGATAGGGATGCTGTGGGTTAGCAGGTTTGTGATCTTCTCAGACCTCATCCTGCTGGCAGTTGGGAAGATTAGGGTAAGAATGAGCTCCTGGGCTAAAGAAAGCCCCGCAGCGGAGACAGCCCACCTCTCCATCACTGTGAGTTAGTTACAAGTTCAGAAATGAATTCTGCACCCATGAGCTGAATGAGCTCTGGGAGTATTTACAGGTTTGAAATAAGTGGTTTTTCAGAGTCTTGCTGCTCTTGGCTGGGAGAGAGAGCAGATCACAGACCATTTCCCTAGCAATGCCTGACCCTGTTGCACTCACTTTCCCCCCAAACAGAGACTGGTTACTTCTTTTTAGCCTGTGTGTCAGTGTAGCCTTGTCCTTTGTCTCCTAGCGAGCTCTGGCATGGCAGATTTCATTTGAACTCTTTATACCAAGACTGTGGTGTTCTCCCAGACATCATGGACTTTAGAGTGTGGATTAGAACCTTGGACTAAAGTAACCATTCCATACCTTGGTCAAGCCCATCCCAATATAGTGGGGGTAAAGCAATAAAGTAAATTTTATTTTTGCACTCGCTCCAGAAGGAACTGGAACCATTCAGGACACTAAAATTGTTGCAAGGCTGGGGTTTTGTAGGAGGAGAGTGCAGTCCTGATTCCCCAGTGAATAGGAAGTTCACATGGCTGTAACCTGCACAGCAATAATGACTTTTCTTTAAAGATGTGGCTTTTTTTTTTTTTTTTTTTTTTTTCTTTTTTCCTATCCTGGCTTCTTCCTGAGAGGATTTACCTTGTGAATGCCTTGGGGGATGGAAAGCATGAAGTAACAGGATACACTGGTATCTGAAGGGACGGAAATGTTTTGAGCTTCAGATGCGTGCTTTGGAGCTCTCCCTTCTAGTACCCCTGAGAACTGGCAAGAAGCCCTTCAAGGGAAACACTGCCTTTTGCACTTTTAGTGAGGGTAGACTGTTGTGGTCTCTTGTTTCTTTTTTGAGAATTTTCTTGCTGAGCTTGTTATTTGCCACACTGATAGAAATATGTTTAAACCTCAGCAGTTTTTTTTCCTCAGGTTCACTGTGTTAGTAGTATAAGCTACCTAGTTCTATGCTACCTGAGTGTTGGAACAGTAGGAGCAGGCTGCATTTGACAGGTGACTTGAGGATCTTGTGTGTGGCATTGAGGCAAGGACAAGTGTCTCACCTGTAAAACTGCATGTACCTGGCTGTGCACAAGAGTACCCTTCTGGCCCCTGAGAAGGTTTTCTGGTGTAAGAGAGGACCCAGAGCTGGTCAGCAGCAGGGAAGGATTTTGGCAATACCTAGCCTTGATGTTTCTCCACCTAGACTTGGAAATGAGTTCAGCCTGCTTTAACTGTGATCTTTTAAGAGGCATTTGTTGTTTCACAAATAGTATGGACTTATGCAGACCAGGATAGTTCTTCAGGGGCCAGGGTTCTGATGTTGTGGCTGTTGTAGTGTTAACCCTCTGTGTCCAAATACCAGCACCCTACTGTTTGGTGACTATACTCAAAACTGTGCACCATTAGATAGACTCTGTAAATGGTGGCTTGGCACTCTTCAACTGTGTCTTCTTTAATTGTGCTTTTTTGTAGGCAAGTCACAGGGTCCCCACATTGACTGTTTCTCCATTTAACTTGTCCTCAAATGACAAAAGTCACTGGTGAGCCTGACTTGGTGCTGCTTGTGACTCCTAATCACATTTCAGCCTTCATGCTATGATGGTGCTTTTTTTTGTTTCCCTTCAAAGTAGGTTGCTTTCAAGTGTCTTAATGAAACTATTTGCTGTAAAATTTCTTCTGAAGATAAAATGGATACTGCCTCACTGCCTAATGTCTTAATAATGTGCTTGGTTTTTTCCTTCTATATGAATGTATATTGCCTCATTAGGGCAGGAAGCGTGTGTGATTATGGATGTGTTTTCCTGTATTGCTTTCAGTGAAGAACTCCATCGTTTCCTAGGATTTTCTTCCACTGTGAGGATGTTTGTACAGTGAAAATCTCTCTGTGGACAGGTGAGCCACTTTCTGAAATGTGGGAATTCAGCTCTCAAGATCTCGTCTTTATGGAACTTCTCTGATGATAGTGTGAAGAATGAGGGGCTCTGGAAGAACTGGCTACCTTAGAGAATGGGGTGTTTGGGCTTGTTTGGTTGGTTGTTTTTTCCACCCTTAGCTTTAGGAAGAAACATTTTGAAAGATGTTTGTGAGCTTTGTTGAAAGGACGTATGTGTGTCCATTTTGCATTGTATTCAGTGTTTCCAAATGGATGCAATTATGAATAAAAATAAATTATTAGAAATTATCTGTGGAGTAGCCTGTTGATTTATGCCAACACATTCAGCCAGGTCAAATGACCAAAAGCTGCCATCATCTCATGGCTATTTAACTGTGACCCCAACTTAGTAATAAGGGAGTAATAGACTAAGGAGAAGCTATGAAACAACTGTTCTTCCAGTTCTGCCAAAGCTGACCTTGGATTGGTTGGCATTGGGATGAAACAGAGACCTGGTTGGCAGTCCTCAGCACTCTGGAAACTAAGGATATTCCCCTGTGGTGGGGATTGGGACCAGGATCTTGCATGCCAAGAGCAATCCATTATCAGATACTGAGTGCTTGTATCTGATCAGTTTCCTAGCCTCTTTGTCCAGTGTCTTGCTTTCCCTCTTACGCCTGCCCACACAATATATCAAGAACTCCAAAAGGAAGAATCTCTTCCTTTAAATTCTCTTCTAAGCCATGCTTGGAAATGATGTGGATATTCTCTGTTCAGAGAGTGGGAAGAGATGTAGCCTTTGATCCTGTTGGTACCTCAGGACATCTGCTGAATGGCAAGAGATGACTTTTAATGAGTAGAATCACAGGTGCCTTTGATTGTTCCCACAGCTCTGCTTTGATTTGCCTGGGTGGCACTTCTGTCTGCTGTTCAACTATTTCTCTTTGAAGATTACTTTGCACTTGCTGACAACAAGGCCCTTGCACTAGCTGGGAATCAGGTTTGCAGTTACTGCAGAAGGGTGTCAAGCTTTTGACACCCCAGCAGCCACCAGGTTCATTAATGCCAGTGACAGGGACATATGAGACCACTGTCTCTCCAGCTCTTATTTTTCCCCTTTGTGGCTTGCCATGCTGTCCCCACACAGCAGGAGCACCTCTGGAGTGGCACCTCATGTGCTGGGGAAGGCCAAGGTGCACTACTGTGGTTGGTATCCATCACTGTTAATGTGTCTGCAAAGATGTGTGCTGTAGATCAGCCTGCAGTTAGCCTTCCCAGGCTAACTACTGACCCCAGCTATAGTCTTGTTTGCCTTGGGAGGAGCTGAGGAAATAATTTAATACTTCAGGCACTGTTTCAAATCCAGCTTGAGCCAGGCCTCTGGTGGACTTTGAAGAGACAATAAGATATTTCTGTGGTCAAGGTTTTTTAGAAAGCATGAAAGAACTCTGGAGAACTGGTGTCAGAAGGGGATGGTAGTGGGGAGAAGAGGAGTTTGCGATCATTTCAGGGTTCTGTATTTGCTGTACTAAAATAAATCCTGCCCCCTTCCCTGTGCAGAAGGAGAGTCTGGCTGTGCAGCCACCTCCCTCTCTTGCTAAGAAAAGCAAGGAGCTGACAGGCAGGAGCTGAGTGTGGGCTGATGACCAGCATTAAGGCATTGACATCTGCATCTAACAAAGTGCTGGAGCAGGGGGAATATTCTGGCATGGCTGCGGGCTGAAGTGGTTTCTTCAGTCTGATGAACTGTCTTGTGTGTCACCCTCCTGCTAGGAACTGTTTGCTGCAGCTTTAATTTGCAAAACACTAATACCATGCCAGGGATTTTAGAGGTATCCTGTGATCCAGTGTCTCAGCAGCATCACCGAGCACAGCCTTGCTTCTGCCAAGGGGATATGGGTTGTTTCAGCCAGGTGTGGATTGAATGGGGAAGGAGAGTGGCTTCTCATCTCCCCTGTGATTCAAGCCATGTTCAGCATGAATGCACCTGATCCCCGAACGTCATCCCTATCCCTCAGGTGGGTCCCGCTGAGGCTTCAGCTCCATGCTAGTGTTAAATTAGCAGTAGGCAAGAGCAAAGGAGTGTCAAAGCACAGCTCCTCCTGGATCTTCTTATTGCTACTTGCTCCTAGAACTCCAACTGAAGAGCATCTTACCAGGAGAATCTTTCAAAGCTACTAAGAATAGAAGAAAACCCTAGAAGATGAGCATATTGGAGACAAAGGCCAGTTTCAGAAGCAAGTGTTGACTGTACTTCAGATTATTTTGGGGAAATTAAACTCCACATAAGCAGCATTATTTTCAGGGATGGTGAGTGGGTGCTGTGGACTTTGAGGACAAAATGTGCAAGTGTGGCATTTTCAGGGAAAGAATCTGCAGTTCAGTAAGCTGGATGCACCCTTGAGTAGCCAGTGGTTTGGGGCACCCATTTAGCTGTGAGAGATGTAGATGCTCAGTGTCGGCTCAGCATATTGCTATGGTCAAGACCAGGCTGTATGTGGACTGATCTGCTCTACTGCTCCATATTCCTGCAACTCCCCTTACAGATGTGGTGTCCTGTCTCCAGCTGGCTGTGTTGCCTTCTCTCTAGCTGAGAAAGCCCTTCTATCCTCACCTTTTATCCTCTGGCTCGCTATCCTTGCACCTTATAATCCAGTTGGAGGGTGGGCTGGAGACTTTTCCTGCTGCATTCTTTGCCAAGCCTTAGTAAGGAGGAAGTCAGCTTAGGAACAGGCCACCAGGAACATGGGAGCAGAAGGGCTGGTTCAGAGGTGTTCCTGGAGCCTGTTAGGCACTACATGGGAAAGGCTTCCAAGGGGAGAGAGGAAGCAGCTTGCTGTTGCTGTGCTGTCACAACTTGCTGCCATTAACACCAAGGGTGGCTGCTGACTGCACTGGGGCATTAGTTTGGTACCTCAGCCCCCAGCTCTGCTCTTCCCTGCCTTTTTGGCTCAGTGCTCTGTGAAAGACGCTCCCTTCTGCAGTGCCCGTTCTTCCCTGCAAGACGAGTTACTCAGCCCTCTCTCAGCTTGTCACTTCCTCTCACAATCTGCCTTTAATGCAGCCAGATGGTCGGTACTCGCCCACACTCCACGCAGGCACCTTCAGTTCCCTGTGCTTGGATAACACTCTCATCTGCCCTGCTGGTGGTCAGGTCTGTGATCAGCCTGTGGGAGATGGTAGAAGCTCCTGTGTTGCAGAGGATGCCTGTGGGAGGCAACCTGGGAGTGAGTCGTCTGTAGACCCACACAAAGGTTCTGCTTGACAGCCTGGTGTGTGTGGGCAGGGAAGCTCTCTGACCATATCCCTCTGAGCTCTCTGCGTGGACAGACTCCTGATGCTAATGCTCTGGAGCCTGCTGCTTCTGCCTGGTCATCTGACCTGTCCTATACCACTTCATCTGCTGTGCTTAGAACTGATCTAGGTCCCTGGACTTCTGCCTAGTGCCATTCAGTTGGCTTCCGACACATTCACACTGGCAACTCAGTTGTGCTCATTTCAGGTTTGAGTTTATTGGAAACTTTCAATGCATATACAGGATTTAAAAATTAATCCAATCCAATCCAATGCAAAGCATCTTCTTTTTGGTGTTACCTAAGTGCTCCCTGTACTGCCAAATGCTTTTGGAGAGAACTTTGCCTATCCTGTTATGAGGGGGAAGCAATTCTAGATTCCTGCCTTACGCTGCTGCTAAGACGTGCTGTACCTTAACCTGCAGCACACTGCTGATAGGGTAATGCCATTAAACAGGAGTAAGAAACTTTAATTTTAATAATGTCAGCTTTTGGCTTATATACAGCTTGCCTTTCTCTTGGATTTTGGGTTTTTTTTTGAAGTGGGTCAAGTGAAAAGGCCCAGACAGACTTACACAATACATCCTTAAATACCACAGTTAACCAGCTTGGAAAAGATTTAAATGACAAGAAGATAGAGGCTCATAAACTTGGAATCAGCACTTGCCACCAAAATCCAAAGCACTGTGCTTGTGAGCTGGCCAGTGCTGTGAACTATGCAGCCCCTTGAAAAATAATCCAGGTTTTAGATTGTCCGTATGCAATGCTGTGATGTGGACTGATGGCATATATCATTTACATAAATAGCTCTTCCTTATTCTCCTCCCATCTAAGCTTCCCTGGCACAATTAGCTAGAAGCTGTTCTCTCGGTGGCCAAGTTCACAGTAGTGGTTAGGGGTCAGCTGACAGTTGGGTCTGTTGGCTTCCTGCTTGAGCTGTGTCACCCCTACAGAGTACTGGCAACAGAAAAGCACCAGGTTACTGCTTAAGGAAAAATAAGTGCAGTTCAGTTCTGTGCATCCTGTGGTGGAGGACGGTTTGTGTCAGTGCTGCAGCTCTGCGTGTGGGAATGGTCTTGGCCTGAAGCACACCCTGTGCTAGGTGTTGGCTACCTAAGCCTCACTGCCACCAGCCAAGACAACCCTATGGAGTATTCAGAAGAGGAGGAGCTTGTGGGGAATAACCCCCTGAAGTGCAGAATGAAGCCGTAAGGTAAGTTTCCAGATAGACTTGGTGTACAACAGCAGTGGTCCCAGGGAGCTTTCTTTGGCTGTACGACCCTTTGCACTGGACAGGACTTCCCCTTGGATTTGTTTCAGTGAGTAGGAAGATAGCACAGAACAGAATCAGTCTTTTCATTCTTATTCTCAGCCTCCTTTGACTGTCTTCTGTCATGTTTGGAAGTCAGGGAGAATTTCAGCTACTCTCCTGCGTAGCTGATTTCTCCTTTCCTCTCTCTCTCTTTCCTTTTTCACCAGTAATGGGTACTGTCTCCATGCTTGGAATGCATTCAGCCTGAGTCTCCTTAAAAGAAATGTGGGACACAAAGAAGAAAGTGACAAAATGCAGATGTGTGCATACAAGGTAAAAAACAGGTGATAAGATAATAAAGGTAATAAAAAGATTACTTCTATTTGAGGGGGGAACTCCCCTAAAATACTTGTGGGATTTGTCCTTTCTGCTACTAGTCAGGGCTGTGACATACTAAACACCTGCATGTGGACCACCCCGTTAGTATGTCAATCAATCCATGGAAGAAGAGCAAATTGCCCTTCTCTGTTCCTCTCCCCCAAGAATTTTTGCTCTTCTCTCTCACAGAATTCATTAGCTGGTGTTTGCTTAGCATGCTGAAGATGAAAGATGTTTCTTGAAGAATAAACAGGGTCTCTGAAAGCAGTTTACTCAGGAAGAATGTGGGCTCACTTGGTTCAGATCAACCACTTGGGAGCACGGGCAGCTGGGCTACAATTCTTACCTGATTTTGATCACCCCACTAACATTGCCTTGCCCTGGATTCTTATGGTCACTAGGGAGAAACAGTCCTGTCTAAACAATAGTTTGCTCTGTCAGGGTCTGAATCGCCTTTTGCCAGTGAGTGAGGGAAGTGGGAATGTGAAATGACAGGTGATTATGCTCCTAATATGGGATCATACATAGAAGGCATCCAGGCTTTTCCCAAGTCTGAATTTTCTATGGTTCCTCGAGTTTGCTGGCTGGTTGGGTAAAATCATGCACTGTTCTGACCTTTCTGACACAGCAAGCTTGAACAGGTTTGCCTGAATTTAAATTAATTCCTCCCCTAAGGTGCTGTGGATCCTGTTTGGGCTATGCACAGGCACAGTCTATTCATGAGAGTATGCAGCTGACATGCTTTCATGCTGGGGTGAGTGAACGTGCTTCTGTTTCCTGCTAAACTTTGACAATATTTTTTTTTCTTCCTGTTAAAATGCATAATTAATGCAGTTGTGGGACAATGAGTGGACTGGGTGCATCCAGCTCCAATCATGATTGGTACAACTGCCTGCTGTAGTTCTCATTGCCAAGTCAGACTGACAATGGCATAAACTGAAAGATTCCTTAAATAGGGTTTCTAGTTGATCAACTTTGGATTTGTGAATTAAATAATCTGCTGTGGACAAAACAATACAGTGTAATTCCTGCACAATCATTTGGCTTGCTATAATTGTACTTACAGATTTTCCTAAGGCAGCTTTTAACAGAAGCTGCATGGCCAGTTCTGCTAATCAGCTTAGAAAATTTCAGCTACTTATCTGCATTCACTGCTTTCTCTTTCAGCAGATTTAAAAGTCCTGTGAAGGGTACCACTAAATTTCTTTTTCTAGGCTACATGGAAAATTCTTACCATGAACCTCTGCTGATGTTGTCCATCCATATTACAGAAGCAAAATACCAGCAATAAAGAATCTGCTTCACATGTTCTTGGGGAACAGATAACTGACCCATCAGAAGTAGTCTCTAAAATAATCTATAGGGTATATTAAACCTAAGTAAGAAGAGCTGTAGGCAAGGGAGTGCACTTACTTGTTACTGTGTTCAGTAGCAATCTTCAGTTTCTCCCATAGGGTACTTTTTTCCTCCATGGTAAGATCAAACCATGCCCAGAAGTACTTCCTCATAAGGCAGGCTGCATGGAGGGTACTCATTCTCTCCTCCAGATGGGAAAGATAATCCATATACTAGGGAAGGAGGACAGAGAAAGAGGTGAGAATGGTTTCTTTGTGCCAAGCCCCATCCCCATAAGCAGAAACAGAGCAGTTCTGATACTGTGGCAGTGAAGGAAAATCAGCAGGGACAGGGTGAGAGAGTGCAAAGGTGGAGGAGCAGTATGTAGGAGAGCATCCTGCATGGAGGAGAATGGAGAGTGGAGAGCTGAAAGATGGGAATGATGTTGAAGAATCTGAAGAAGGGAATGATGTTGCTGGAATGAGGGCAGTGTAACTCAGCAAAGGTTGGGCTGCAGATGTGTGAGGTGGCACTGTGGTGTGGGGAAAGCCTGGCAGTAGTATCACTTCTCTGCTGTAGTGCAGGCAAACCTTTAGCCAGTTCCTGAAGCCCCGTCTCAGCAGCACATGGGAGTAGAAATCCTCAGCCTGAGACACCTTCTCCATGAGGCTCTCCTGGGTATGCTGGAGCCAAGTCATCAGGCATTTTCTCTGCAAGCCCAAGCAGTGGTGCCTTTGTGCCAGCTGAGGAAAGACAGCAAAGATGGCAGCTAGTTACTTGCACTAGTGACTACCTACACTGCCTACGAAAAACTGTGGGTACATTAGAAAATCATCTCAGCTTTTTGGGGCCCCTAAAATACAGATGTCTGATAGCTGGAATAACTTACAGGATAGGTTTCCACAAAGAGGGATCAACATAAGGAACAAGACCAGTCTTTCTGCCAGGCCACTACTGTGTTACTTCCAGAGAATATTCTTTGAATTAGACACTCAGTTTAACCTACTGTGAATGGAGCAGAGGCATGAGATGAAATAGTTTTGTCCAACCCTGTCCAAAACACTGACCAGCAGGGTGGACTTACAGACCAGCTGCTATCCCTTTGCTTCTTCCCAGCTGGAGGGCTGCATGCATTTGGTCAAGTACTGTAAGTAACTGCAGTTCCATGACTTCAGTGGAAGCTTGCCAATTTAGCCTTGGGCTCTGGCTACGTCTTCAGGATACGGTTGAGCATTCTTAGTGCAGCCCTGGTAAGGCATGCCAATTCATTCATGTACAGAAATGTCTCATTAGCAGTATTTCTATGTCAAGGTCTCAGAAACTACCACTTGCTATTCTGCACTGAAGGTATGGACAGGCTACAACAGATTATCACCTGTGATGCCCTATCTCTAGCAGTGGCCAACACTGCCCCAGAAGTGACGCCAGAGAGAGGAGGGCTCGGCAGTGTCTTATTGGTTAGCTTTGCTGTGAAGCAACAGAATTGACAGACTCATGTCACACAATTTCAATATATTTTTTGTATCATGCTAAACTAACTCCCCCTGTGTTATTGGCATCAAATCATGCGGCAGTTAGTACTGCAAACAAGTGGAGGCTAACAAAAGATGACTTCTCATTAGATTGAAATTAATTCCTTTCTCTGTCCTTTTGGTTCCTGTTTAATCAGCTATAAATGAGGATGCCACCCTTGCGGGTTTTTGATGACCTTTCAGGATTACTGTCAGATGGCCTGATTTAAAGAACTAATATAGGGCAGGATGTGCAGGAGAATTTTTGCTTTTTCCATCTCTACCTGGCTTAAGAGCCTTTTAAGGTTTTTGGTAAGTGTCGTGTCCGTTCTTTACCCCTTCCTCCTATGGCACCAGTCTTTTCCTTATCCTTAGCACTTACTAGCAGATTTTCCTTGGCTTGCTCCTTCAGCTTTTTCCATGGCACCATTCCCAGCTTTCTCAGCAGGACATTCTCATAGTGATCTCTGGCCTTTTTCTGGAGCTGTTGCTCTTTCTGCAGCTTCCTCTGCTTCTCCAGCTCTTTCTACAATACACAGAGCAGTAGTTTTAATTCACTGTGGATGGAGAGGATGTTAAACAATGGCAATATATTGACATATTGGAGCTGACAGGAAACAGGGATCTGCATCATCTTTAGCAGTGCAGATCAGACATGACCCCATGTACTAGAAGCAGTGGTAAAAAGCAGGGCAAACTATCCTGAAAATTCTCATAGAAGATTATGGTACTTCTAGACATTTCCTCAGGCCATGTATCAGCACGTGGCCTTCCCTCAGCACTGCAGCTTGGAGTTACTGTAGCAGACACATAATCTGTGGCTACCAGTAGTGCTGACATAGCAGAAACCTCCTTTTGATAGCCTTTCAGTGTGGGGAGAAGTGCTTTGGTGAGCTCGAGGAGGGCAGCTTGCTGTTTATAAAAGTAGATTGAAAGCATGTCCAAAAATCATTCCAAGTTTACACAGGGACCCTACCACTTCATCTAGCCCAAATAATAGGGGAGGGATGTGGGTATTATTGAACTGCAGTTTTGACTGAAACTCCAGGATGAAGGTCAAACATCCCAAAACACTTGATCCAAGTAGAACAGTATTTGTAGGTCAAATTCCTGTAGGATTTCAAATGTGCTATTTGGGTTATTAGGACAGCTCATTTCCAAGTAACAATAATGAAGTGAAGTTATTCCAAGGCTAGCTCCAAGGAAAGGCTGCTTCTATTCTTCAGGTGGAAAGTTGCCCTTGATACATCTGTCCGGCTTGTTTACTTTCAAATCGTGTGTTTGTGACTGGTATCACTGTGTATGCTGCAGAGGGATACAAGGAGAAGGAGCAGTCTGCAAGTAGGCTGAATGTGCTACCACTGAGGGGCTTATGTGGTTATACCTCAGCAGTGAGCATCCACCATCTGGGACCTCTAGTCCTGCTGATGAAACAGAGGCAATACATACTTCAGAGTGTTTGGTTCCACGGCTCTTCACCTAACGTTGCCAAAAAGGGTGAAAGTGGTGAGTCTACATTCTGGTGCTGAGCTGTGGGACTCTGCTCTACCAATGCTATCAGTTCACATTACTTGGGCTGCTGACTGAGTGCTAGTGAGTAATGGCTGCTCTTCCCTATCCCTGGTAAAGGCAAGGCAGAGAGGTGAGGTGTTTGGTTACCAGCTTCTGCTGCCTTCTCTCTCTGGGACCTCTAGTCCTGCTGATGAAACAGAGGCAATACATACTTCAGAGTGTTTGGTTCCACGGCTCTTCACCTAACGTTGCCAAAAAGGGTGAAGGTGGTGAGTCTACATTCTGGTGCTGAGCTGTGGGACTCTGCTCTACCAATGCTATCAGTTCACATTACTTGGGCTGCTGACTGAGTGCTAGTGGGTAATGGCTGCTCTTCCCTATCCCTGGTAAAGGCAAGACAGAGAGGTGAGGTGTTTGGTCACCAGCTTCTGCTGCCTTCTCTCCTCCCGTCGTTTTTCCTGCTGAGCTTCCTTTTCCTCAGCCTCCTTTCTCTGTCGTGCTTCCTCTTCAGCCTTCAGCTGGGCCTTGAAATGGCAAAAAATTGAGGTAGGTAAAATTTAATTTGGCACACATGACTTTTTCAGAGAACAGAGACCTCTAAGCTTTCCCAATATTCCTCTAGTATTGACCAGCATCTGAAACTTCAGAAAGAAACAGATTTCATCACAGACGTGATCTGTGCTGGACAGTGAACTGTGGAATTGAAAGGAAGGAGGGATTGTTCTTTCTGCAATCTATATATATTTTTTTCTTTGTCCTGATTTACAGCATTTTCCCACTCTTCCCCTAAGACATTTAAAACATACACCAAGTTATGTAGTGATAACCTGATTGCTGAAGTCAGTTCTGAATCCCTGAATTCTGCTTTTTAAGTTTTACTTCTACATGAAAAGCAGCATTACAGGTACATTTCTTTCCCCAAACATGGAAGATCAAATAAGTTGTTTTACTTCAGTACTGGTCATACTTTGTGAGATACCCTTCTCTGCTCCTCTTGGAAACCCCGCTCTTACCTCACAAAGCTTTTGCTCTTGATATATATATATCCAAGGCCTAAAACCCACAGCAACACGATTACTGTGCTTCCTGATCTCTACAACTGGGGCAACTGCAGCTGAGGAAACCTAAACTGATGCTTGTTTGTACAATCTATGGTTTAAGTGTTCTCTAAGGCTTGTTTCAGTCTCTTGCATATGTGAGTGCATCTCTTAACTCAGAGAAGGAAGAAAGGCTGGTTGCTTTAGGACCCCAGTTCTGAGCTTCCTAAATCCTAATCCAATTTACTAGCAATGTTTTCAGTAACAGCTTAATGCTCTGAAGGTAAGAAGGCTCATCTGTTGGATATGTATCACAGAATTTGTGCATTAACTATGCAAACATTGTCAGTATCTTCTCCCTTCAGCAGAGATTTGCTAAAAAGATGCAGGATTTTTTACTAGGTGAGACTGCACATCCTCAAGCTGCAAGTGACCACACATGAAAGGCAGGGAAGGGGAAACCCACCAGAGCCAGGTTCAATCAAGTGGATCTCTGCATGCACTTCCACCATTTCTGTCCTCAGCTAACATGAGTTACAGTCATGGGGTAGGTATGAAAGAAGTTTGGCGGGGGGTAAAGGAGGTTGTTTCTAGAATTGCAGCTGCATCAACATGAAGTGTCTGCTTGTGATATGGTAGGGCTAGCGCTATCAAGGTATGCAAATGTGGCAATAACTACTTCTTTTGATATGTGCTGTACATCTGCTTTCTCACAAGTTATAAAAGTCCTGTTTTGGATAAAGGGCCTTTTCATGGACCCTAACTCTGGGGCTAAACCAGCATTTCTTGTAACTGGAATGGTGTGAGGAGACTTTATTTTTCCATTTCTCTTACCAGTTTTTCCTCTTGTCTTCGTTGTTTGGCTTCTTCCAGTTTCTTCCTCCGTTCTGCCCGCTGAGTTGCTCTCTCCTCCATAGCTACAGAAACAGAGGACATAAGGCTTAATGGAAATGAAATATGGGTTAATGGCAGAAGTTTGGTGAACAAGGATGACCACTTAACTATACTGACAGGCCCCCAGTGACTTGACAATGCCAGCACAAAGGTACTTGCTTCCTGCTGCCTCCTACAGCTGTCAGTGTCATGAACAAGGTACCCATAAACATTTGACATGACTCAGGACTACCCCAGCTAGATTCACTCCACCCAGTTGCAGCCACAAGGATCAGTTGTGAAAGGAGCTATGATTAGAGGTTTTTTTCCCCATCTTCCCTGATTGAGTGCTGAGGCTGATGACACCTGGTTTAGCAGCAATTGCTCTGAGGTCTCCAGTAAGCTCCAGCTGCTTATTTAAAGAGTGACTTAATGATGGAAAGCATCCCTGCCACAGTGATGCACAAGTACGTGGTCCTACTAGTCCTAGTAGTGAGAAACTACTGCTTAATGCTTCTCCTGGGAGATGAATTGCAGTGCAGTGATCTTGCTGGCTATCAGCAAAGGTGTCATGGTGCTGACATAACCACAAAGAACATACAGTGGAGTTGAGAACCCATGTGTACTTCTTCTGAGGCGGCAAATGAAACGCACAGGCTGGAGATCACAGTAAGCATGGAGCATTTAAGTGTTCTGACCATAACAGGCTTCCTCAGATCATTTCTCCTCCTAACTGCCCCAGGGTTTTCTGCCAAGGGAAAAATCATCCAGTGATAAATTACTCACTGAATTTTTTCAGGATCTTCAAACAAAAGCACTTGAGTGTTCTGAAAATGTGTCTAAGCTGTACAGAGTTCAGTCAAATCAGAGTGAATGATGACTTGGACTAGGTAGCATTGGAGTTCAACACAGTAGATTAACAAAAGGCAACTATTAATGCCTGACCAAAAATGGCCAAAAAGCTCTGGTGACCCCAAAACTGTTGAAACAACACAATGATCATATTCCAGACAATCTTTTATGCAGACTCTGACCACTCCTCAGTTGCTATGGAAGTACAAGACCCATGGATATAACAGAACCTGATTTTAATTTACTGCATGAAAAGGCTGTGTTGCATGTTTAACATGTATACACTGTGTCAGCGTGCCCAGAGAAGGGGAGATAACTCACAGAAGGCAAGGACTCAGAGCTTCTTCCCCAGCCTAGCTACTGTTGTCTCACAAAACCTTAGGTAGGCACTTAATTCCCTTTGAAATCTCAGTACCTCTGTCAAAGGTAGATGAAAATGACTGGTCAGTTTAAGTGGTACTTGCATGTGCAATGAAGGGAATCAGACTGACAGCAAAAAGCCCTGTAGAGCTCTCTCTGAGTCTTGTCACACCAGAAGCAACCACAGATCACAGTATCATTCTGGTTGGAAAAGACCTTCAAGATCATCGAGTTCAACCACTACCCTAACTGAATGCTAGGTGCTAGGAGTAACCACACCACAGTGTATGAAGCACAGACTTGAGGGGCTTGCAGTGGCTGAGATGCCTGACTTGGGCATGAAAACAGCTCACCTTCTCACAGTGCTGCTCAGGTTGGGAAAGAGAGTGCTGGGTTTTACTTGCATACTGTCACCAACCAGCAAGGAGAGAAGTTTCCAGATGACCTGTTGAGAAAAGTGCTGTGGAATGATCTTTGCTATCTAGAACAATACCTTTCACTATGGGATGAATTGAAGCCAGCTGGCTGGAGGGTCTCCTGCCTTCCATCACTGCCCTTGTGTTTTCTGGCCCATGAGAAAGAGGTGGACTGTGAAAGAAAAGAGTAAAGAAATTAATCAACAAATGTGATAAAATAATGTCTCAGTCTACCTACCTGCCACCTAAGGTTGAGGCCTTGTAGTTCCTATTGTCCATTGTGCTGCATTTTCATTCTGAATCCCTGATATGCTTTCTTCTGCTTGAAATAGGATTAATGATGCATCTGTGCAAAAGAATTGAGTTCCCAGGGCTGTTGCATGTTCTGAAATACTGAGGATGACACT